TGACACTATATCTACATCTACATTTGTCAAAAATGATAAATTCTCTGATTCTAAGAAGAAAGATCTATTGGGTTTTTACAATTGAAGAAATACTCAATTCACCAATCTGAAATCAAACAACTTAACATTCATGCATCATATTTAGACATTTGCAAAAATAGATGCATTTTCATTCTTTTTTATTCTTGTTGAAATTTTAACAGGAATTTCAAAGATTTTAGCAAAGATGAATCCATCATTTGGTGGATCATCTTTTCCAGAGAAAGTTCATAATGAGAAGAACTCATCTGAAGAAGGAAGAAGAAGTTCATAATGAGAAGAATTTGTTCAACCTTTTACCTGAATCCATCATTTGGTGGATCATTTTTCCCAGAGAAAGTTCATAATGAGAAGAACTCATCTGAAGAAGGAAGAAGAAGTTCATAATGAGAAGAATTTGTTCAACCTTTTACCTGAATCCATCATTTGGTGGATCATCTTTTCCAGAGAAAGTTCATAATGAGAAGAACTCATCTGAAGAAGGAAGAAGAAGTTCATAATGAGAAGAATTTGTTCAACCTTTTACCTAAATCCATCATTTGGTGGATTATTTTTCCCAGAGAAAGTTCATAATGAGAAGAACTCATCTGAAGAAGGAAGAAGAAGTTCATAATGAGAAGAATTTGTTCAACCTTTTGCTTGAATTCATCATTTGATGGATCAACATTGCCAGGTAAAGTTCATAATGAGAAGAACTCATCTGAAGAAGGAAGAGAAAGTTCATAATGAGAAGAACTCATCAAGAGCTTATTCAACCTTTTGAAGGACTCTATCACAAAAAGGAGGTCATCATCAACCCCAGCAGAAAGTTCATAATAAGAAGAACTTATTTGGAGAAAAAGAAGAATTTATTCAATATCTCCATAATGATCAAAGTAAAGTCAAATGGATAAAAAATTTTATTATCTTTTCATCTTTGCCCTATTCTTGTTAACACAAGAATGAGCAAAGAGGGGCAGCTGAAGATACTAAATTTTTTATCCATATTATTATTATTATTATATATTATTATTATTATTATTATTATTATTATCATCATTATTATTATTATTATTATTATTATTATCATTATTATTATTATTATTATCATTATTATTATTATTAATTTATATTAAATATATTAAATACATAATAATATTTACAGGCCCAATTACAACTGGACCGGTCCAGTTACAAACCAACCAGAACCGGTCCAAAACTAACTAGAAACCCTAAATGTGTAGGTTTCCAGTTAAGGTTTCCTAACCCTAATCCCAGCCGCCTCATCATCACAGCCGTTGGATCTGAGAGATCCAACGGCCCACACTCATCCAGCACAAACCCTAGGGTATGATACCCTAGGCCACGCGGCCGCCGCTGCTGCTGCTTTCAGAAGCCCTCACCGCCTCCGCCGCTGCCACGTCCCAGCCGAAGACTCCAGAAGCTAGAACACCGGCCGTCCACGCCAAGGCTACGGGGTGAGTCACCACTGGTAGTCCGGTGACTCACCGAAGCCCCCTCTTCGGACCGGTCCGAGACGAACACCGGTGGTGGCTATAAAAGCCACCACCCACCTGAAAAAAAAAAAAAGAGGGAGACAGCAAGAAGAGACAGAGACTGAACCAAAAAGAAAAAAAAAAAGGAAAATAGAGAGATATAAAACTACCAACGATCCCAACAGAGCAAAAACAAAAAGAAGAAGAGGGGAGAAGCTTACCAAGGAAACCTTGACCGTCGCCGGAAACGCTGAACATCGCCGGAGAACCGAAAAAACCGAAGGTATATTTGTAGATCTGCTCCGATTGGGAGTCATTTAACGGAAAAAAGTATCGGGACCGTCATTAGGACGGTCCGATCTACATTTAGATATAAAAAAAAATTTCCGGCCACCGAAGACGGTGGCCGGCGGCGGCGGTTGACGGCGGATGAACGCCGGCTAACGGCTGCCGGCCGACTGAACTTCTCTCAGTTTAGAGAGAAGACAGAGAGTTCTTCTCTCTGTTTGAGAGAAAGAAAAAGAAAAAAAAAAGAGAAAGAAAAAATGAAATGGCTGGCCCGAAGGGCCAGCCGATTTGGACTTATATAGTCCTTCCCGAACGACGTCGTTTCGGGAAGGACTATGCGCGTAATTACAAAATAGTTAAATCCCTTCCGCAGTCCTTCATATTTGTAAACTTTACATTTTGGTCATTAAACTGAATTTATAAGAATTTTAATTCGGTCTTTGAATTTTAATTTTATTCATTTTAGTCTTTTTAATTAAAATAATATATTTAGGATAAATGACAGATTTAATCCCTTAATTTTAATAAATAATTTTTTAGTCCCTAGTTCATACTTTTAATTTATTTTATTATAAAATTCGAATTTTAGATAAGTTTATTTTGGTCATTAAATTATTAAATAAAAAAAAAATATTTAAACCCTATAATTTCAATTAATTAATAATTAGTAATTAGTTTATTTTTATAATTTAGTTATTAATTTTATACGTCTTTATTAATTTTATTGTTTTTAAATATATTGTTTAATAGAATTATTATTTTATTATATTGTTAAATATTTTGATATATATTCATAAATATATATAATAAATATTAACTTTTAAATATTTATTTTTAATATCGAAGAAAAGGACAGTCTTAATACAACTGGATGTCCTATTCTGATGTTTTAAAATTAAACAATATTATTTAAATTAATATTTATCAATATCAAAGAAAAGAGCTGTCTTAAGGCACCTAGAAGTTCTTTTCGGATATTTTTAAATAAATATTTTTTTAATTTTGAAATTATAAGATTATAAATTAAATATATTTTTGAATTTTTAAAATTTTTAATAATAGAGACAATTTATAATTAAAAAGTACCAATTTTGGGTGTTGTAGGGGTGCTAATCCTTCCCTAAACGTAACCGACCACGAATCCCTTTTTATTATTAAAAAGAATGAGTTTTTGGTTATAAAACGCAGATCAGTTCAATTTTTTTTAATTGATGTTTTCTTAAAACTCTTTTAAAAAAAATAATTTTTAGGTATTCGACCTACCTGATCCAAAAAGGCCGATGGCGACTCACAAATTATTTTCAAAATTATTTATTAATATTAATTTCCCCGCCAAATTTTAATATTTCGTGCCCGGACGAAAACCGGTTACGACACTTCGGTTTAAGTAAAGAATGATTCAAAGTGATGGATAACTTGAAAACGAACTGACTTTAAAAACGATATCCGTACAAACTCCTTTTCTTGACTCTCATATCTAAGGAAGGAACAAAATATATTACTCTTTTTTTCTTTACAAGTTTCTTTGTACCCTTTACTTAATTGCTTGGGTTTAAGTAAAGAATGATTCAAAGTGATGGATAACATGAAGAAGAACTGACTATAAAAACGATATATGTATAAACTCTTTTTCTCGACTCTCATATCTAAGAAAGGAACAGAATAAATTACTCTTTTTTTTTCCTTTATAAGTTTCTTTGTACCCTTTAACTCAATTGCAACGTATTCTGGATGAGGCTTGATTTAACAGCATTCTTGCCTGCATGAAAATTAGACTTATATGAACAATTTGGCCCCTCCGATATGTACATTGTATTATTTTAGTATCTAAATTTTTATTACATTTTGATACCTAAAGTATATATTTATTATAGTTTCTAGTAAAAAAATTATTAGATGGTTGATGAACAACAAGCGAGGTGATGGCTTACGATGATTAACACGGAGAAATGAAGTGGTCATCTTTCGATGATTTGTGATTCATTTTTTCTGATTTGGGCGGAAAATAAGTAGGTCGGGTTCCAAGTTAAGAGAAGTGGGCTCTACGAGTGAGAGGGAGAGAAGAAAATCTCCTTTGTCCTAGAGGAGTTATATTATATACTTTGATACCTAAGTAAGTAGGTCACAATACCATTCATTTTGTAGAATGAACGTATAATTCCCAGAAAGTTGGCCACGATATGCTAGCTCGTAAAAAATATATGGATTGTTAGTTGCTGGACCGTTAAAAGATGACATTGAAGTGGGATCCCTTCCAAGTGACGAGGGTATAATATATAGGGGTGATTAATGAGTTGAGCAGTAATTCGTGAGTAGTTTGAATTCGATTTGGTTAAAATTAGATAAAAACTTGACTTGGGTTGACTCGACTAGAACTAGACTCAAGACTTTAACGAGTTAACTCGAGCAAAGTCCAGCTTGACTCGATAAGTTCACGGGCAGCTTGTTAATTGTTTTTAATTTTTTACTAGCTATCTTAGAAAATCATTTAAAAATTACTAATAGATGATAAATGACTAATATATTAATTTTCCAATAAAAATACTAAATTATTAATTATTATTTTACAACACCCAAAAATTAAATCCTAATTATTTTTAATGTATTTGTGGATTTTTATTTTGGAGTTTAGACTTTGAATTTATTTCGTACACTTTTTTGATAATTTTTGGTTAAATTTATCAATTTACGTTTATATTAAGCTTTATATAGTATTAATAGATTTTACCTATAGTTAAAAAAAACAAGATAAAAATTTGGTGAGCTTAACGAGCAACGTAACAAACAACGAGGCAAGTAACAAGCTTAACGAGCTAAATAAGCACAAGACGAGCAACAAGTTTTTAACGAGCACGAGTCGAGCAAAATTTTAACGAGCTTAATGAGTCGAGCAACAAATTTTTATAACGAGCACGAGTCAAGCACTGCCTTCATCGCGATCGACTCGCTCGATAAGCACTCCTAAAACATTTTCCTCCGTTCTGTTGTTTGAGATACTACCACAATCTCGATAATGGATTTTGAGAAATAGATTTATACTTTGGTAGATAATCTCTTCTACATCGGATATTTTATTAGACTTAAACCATACATATGAAGAGTCTTTCCATAATAATACAATTGGATGATTAACGAGTTGGGGAAGAAAAGAAGAAGATTGAATTGGGACTTTATACAATTCCGGAAGAATGCACAGTGCTCAATCAAGAAGTATATTATATGTTGTTCTTCCTAATTTGATTATTAGTTTTGAACAACTACGTCTTTTCAAACATTGAATATCTTAAAGGAGTCTACCACAGTCACCAATCTATCTTTCATCTTATCCCATCTTCTCTCATTTGCTCCTGTTGTCAGAGTGTAGAATTTACCTGATAAAACAACACTTAACACTGTTATGTAATTGATGGACTCATAGGAGGAATGTGATGAAATGAACAAATGTATGAAAATGATGGCACATTCAGAAATTTGAATCTCAATTTTGTTTCTTCTTCATTTTTCCTGTTGTATCATCAAAGGATCTAGGATGAATTGCAAATCCTGGGATACTCCAAACTTGCTAAATATCAACTATAATATCTGAATAGAAACTAATAAATTGACAAAACAATATCCAGATGAATAACCATGTTATGTTATTCAGACTCTATGTATTTAAAATGTGTCTGACAAGGGTGTGTCGGGCACCGATATTTTTAGAAAAATGAAAAATCGAAATGATATGGTAATCATGCACATTCGTACCATTTCCAATTGAAACTGCAGTGAGAGCATGTCGAGTGTAGTTTGGAGCCTTGGTGATAAACTCAAATGTATAATAAGCTTTTCCATCTACATCATGCTGTGAGATATGTACAAAACACAAACATATCAATCCATAATGTTTACTTACGAATTCTAAAAACTTGTCAAACAAGAAATTAGTATCTATATGATTAGGATATATGTTATGTTACTTGGAATCGGGTGTGCGAATGCTCAACTTAATGTTCGGTACAGGTGTTGGGCATGAGTATTTCAAGAAAAAATAGAGTTGGAGTAACATAGATTAGAAGAGTATTTGACATTCAAAAGTTCAAAAAGTCTACATAGCAATTCCTTGTGGTACAAATGATATGAATATACCAGATTATAAGATGTGAAAATAACATGAAAAACACAAATACATCGATGGCTAAACCTTCCTACACTCTTAATATGATAGACATATATACATGCATGTTCAAACAACATATAATAACACAATCCACTGCAATATTACAAGAAGGTTATTAGATAAACTAGTTGAGGAGGTTGTCAAGAGAATACAGAAGTAGGCTTTCATTCGAGGTAAATATATAACACTTGAATCATAGAATGCCTTTTTGCATATTTGAAGGAATCTTGAGGGTGTCATATCTCCTTGTCTATATCCAAATATATGTTAGATGCAGGTTCCCAACATGAATACATTAAAAAGAATGAAGAGTTTGAGCAACATAGTTGAAAATAATAAAGGAATTAAAATAAAAAAGGGTACCAAATCCATTTGCATCAAACAATAAAATGCTGGAAACAAACCTCTGCTGCCTGAACTAACTTTGTTTTCTGAGTTGGAGGGGCCAAAACTTTCTTGATCAGAGTCTCAGCAACCTGTGAGAATTTATTATGAGAACAAAGATCTCATTTCTTCTCTTTTACAGATGATACATATAATATAAAGAATCCACAGCAAACCTCTTGAGGAGATCCGAAATCTCGAATGTCTTGCTTGTTGGTTGGTATCATATTAACACTCACACTTTCTAATGGCTCAATAACATCTTTGAATACCTTGTCTTGACCTTCAATAACTACTTCCTGCACACTTGGAAGTGAGACTAATTAATTCTACTTTCCAATAAATCGAATCCAAAAATTTACTATGTTCCTCGGAATCTGATATAACAACGGTATATTATAGTTCCGAATCCGAGTAACATTGGTAGTTACATGCACAAATTTTACCTGCCACCCAAATGGATAGAGAAATGTGTATCCATCTTTCTTGTCTGTGACTGGAAGAAATCCCTTCTTAGTTTCTGCAGCAACTGAACCATATGAATGTGTCCTCTTAGCATATCAGTAAATTTTATTCAAAGAATCATCATATAGCATAATAGCATGCATGTTGAAATGATTTCAAGTAGGTTCAACAACTTCGGACTAGACAATAAAACGAGCATGATACAAATACATGAACATGACAATATGTACAGAACATAAATTACCAGCACATCAAAGTTTATATAAATCTTTAAATTCTCGACTAAGATTGTGATTTGTGACGCGAAAAAAATGCACAAAGACGAAATAAATACATAGATTGCCAAATAATAGTTTCAATTTCAATGCTTCAAACAACATACATACATGCAGTAGGAGTTCGGTCAACAATTGAAACCAAAGGAGCAATGATTCCGGCAGCAATTATTTGGCGTCTCCCACAACTCTCTGGAAATTTAAAATTAAAAACGAAATTTACTATATAAGCATTGATACATAGAAAAAAGAAATGCTTAATAAAATCTCCACAAATACCTCTATACATTAACAATGAATCACCATACCAAAATCTAGAATTACTAAATTAAGAAAAAGAAATTAAAATTCACCTTGAAAATGAGAAGATGTAGAAGCAGCAGCAGCAGAAGATGATAAATGTTCAGCCCGGGCATGAAGAGAAACACTTGTTTTACAGCAAAGAAATGCACCATGAGAAAGCTTCTGCAATCCTTTCTGTTTAACCAATAAAACAGGCAAAACTCCCCCATTTAAAATTCAACCAAAAGATGAAATTGAAAAGATATAAAAAAGACCCAAAGCTTAAAAACAAAAGAGATCGATAATGTTGATGAGAAAAGAAACCTGGGGAAAGGAATTAACGAACAACGTATGATGAAGAGAAGGCATAGAGTTCTGCAGAGCTGCCATTGTTTTTATAATCTGTGCTTCTGTTCATATGAACTACTGAATGGGCAGCTAAAATAAAAAAGGAAAATTATGAAAAATAGAGGGTGGAATATAGAATTCTTCATTGATGAATTTTGTGGTCGAGATTTGTTTATCACTGGATTGTTATCCGTTGAGAAAGAGTTCAAGTGGTTTTTCATTTCACACGTATGTATTGTATACTGTAAAGCCTTTTGAAAGTCTCGTAGATTTTTGGACCCACCTTTAATTTTTGGGTAATTTAAGCATTTAATATCTAAACTATCAATCTTGATATATTTAAGTATTTAAAGTTTTTATTTTTTAAATCATATTCAATATTTAGTTTTTATTTTATTTTAGTATCCTGTTAAAACTTAATGTTATGCGTTGAAAAATTTTAAAAGTTTAGGCACTAAAATAGACCAAAACTTATAGTTTAGATACTAAAAACGTTAAGTTTTTAACGACGGGTACCAAAATGAAATAAAAACTAACATTAGGTATGATTTTAAAAAATAAAAAAATTTAGGTACTAAAATAGTCCAAAACTGATAGTTTAAAAACTAAACACGTAGTTTACCCTTAATTTTTTTCTTAACATTTTATATTCAACCGAAAAATTTTACTTTCTTCGTAACACCTTCGATTATCATTTGAAAATGTTATATTTTTATAATAATTTTGGTTCAACCGAAAATGTTAACATTTTAGGTTGCGTTCAACTGAAAATATTATTTTTTATCACATTTTCGGTTGCGCTCATTCTCTGTCATTCCTTAGCCTTAAATTAGACTGTCGTACGGTAGAATTATCCCACTTTTTATTTTCTATGTTTTCTTTATTTGTAGATTGATTTGATCATATTTAGTTACCAACCTATTTTTTTTAGTTTTTTTTATCATCTAACTATTTTTTCAAAAATTATTTTTAATATTATATTTTGATTTTTTTGTCACTTAATGTTAAAAAAACAAAAACACTTATGTGATAATTATTTATTTATTTTTCAATGATTATATGACATTACCTTATAATGACATATCACCATCATCTTTAATTTTTGAACAACATTTTACCAAACATAACGTTAAATATAAGAAAAATATTAAATGATCAAAACTACTTCCGTTGTGTTCAATGATGGTCGTTTGGTTTGCGAGGGTGATTTTTGTCGAGCCACCAATGAAGCACGTATCGATACAGAAACAAAAGGTTTAATGGCAGCTTCCATGGTTACATTACATACTGAATCTGTTGCGGAATACGTCTATCAGATAGAGAAAAATCGCAACTGATAATTTGAGAAAATAAAAATGAAAATAAAGAAAACAAATTTTACGTGGGAAAACCCCTAAATAATATAGGGTAAAAACCACGGGCAACGGTAGAATAATTTCACTATGAGAAAATAGGAATTACAACTTCTCTCAATCTAACAAGGAGAAAACAATGATAATTCTCTCTTGATAAAAAGAAGAAAACAACTCTCAACAAACTCTCTAAATTCTCTAGTATTAGGAGAAAGCTAGAATGATTTGGGATAGTTTTGAAGCTAAATGAGCTAGGGTATTTATAGTTGAAACTTAAGGACTAATCTTATAAATACCCTAAAGTACAATGACTAAATTGTGATTTTACTATTTCTAAAAAATTTAACAAATATGGGTGGAATATTTTATTCCAACTTTCGGTGCATTAAATTTATGCACCTTTCGGTGCATAGTCAACAATCTCCCACTTGAAGATTTGATTGGAACAATCATATCTTCACACCATTCTTTCTACCTTGTACCTTCATATTGCTTACGTCTCTAATATGCCACAAGAGAATCGACACCAAGTAAATTTATCAGCGTTGATCGCCTTCGTTATGAAATCTGCTATGTTGTCTTTGGTATGGATCTTCGGCATATCTATTGTTCCTTCTTCCACATTATCACGAATGAAATGGTATTGAACTCGTATGTGTTTTTTCCTTGAATGAAATGTTGGATTCCTTGCTAAATGCAAGGTGTTTTGACTGTCACAAAACAGAGAGACATACTCTTGATTGTGCCCAAGCTTCTCCAATAGCATCTTCAACCAAATTGCTTCTTTACTGGCTTGTTTAGCTGCTACATATTCTGCTTCTGTTGTGGACGTAGCCACAACTGACTGCAATTTTGAAACCCAGCTTACAGCTCCACCAACAACTTTGAACACATATCATGTAGTAGATTTGCTTTACCCAAATTCTCTGCATATTCAGAATCAACATACCCATTGATAAGTAAATTTGATCCTCCGTAATATAATGCAACATTTGAGGTCCCTCTGATGTATCTTAGGATCCTCTTTACTATATTCCAATGCTCTTTGCCTGGATTCGCCACGTACTGACTAACCACTCTTACTGCTTGTGCAATGCATAGTCTTGTGCATATCATAACGAACATTAAACTTCCCACTATCGATGCATACGACACTCGAGACATCTCCATCCTCTCTTGTTCACTGCTAGGACTCATACTGGAGGATAATTTGAAGTTAATAGGAAGAGGGGTAGAAATTGACTTACAATCTTGCATGTTGAATCGTGACAAGATCTTCTTCAAATAATTCTTTTGTGAAAGCCAAATCTTCTTATTACTTCTATCTCAGTGAATTTACATCCCTAGAATCTTGTTTGTTAATCCCAAGTCCTTCATTTCAAATTCCCTAGCTAGTTGTGCATTCAATTCTTTAATATGATCTTTGTTGGGTCCTGCAACCAACATGTCATCCATATACAACAACAATATAACAAAATCGTTATCACCAAACCTCTTGAAATAATCACAAGGGTCTGCATTAAGTCAGTTGTATCCAAGGCACATAATGAATGAATCAAATCTCTTATACTAACACCTCAGCTCCTGCTTTAGACCGTACAATGATTTGTTCAACCTGCAAACCAAGTTATTCTTTTATTTTTCTTCAAAACCTTCAGGCTGGAGCATGTAAATCTCTTCTTCAAGATTTCTATGAAGAAAAGTTGTTTTAACATCTAGCTGCTCTAGATGTAAGTTCAATGTAGCACACATTGCCAAAACTACACGAACAGTTGTTAGTCGAACCACAAGAGAAAAGATTTCATTAAAATCAATACATTCTTTTTGAGCATATCATTTGACCACCAGTCTTGCACGATACCTCTCAACTTGATCGTCACCATTTCGCTTGATTTTGAATACCCATTTGTTACCAATTGGCTTCATTCCTTGTGGTAGTGGCACAAGGTCCCATGTAATATTTTTATGAAGGGCTTCAATTTCTTCTTGCATCACCATCATCTACAGTGAAGCATCTGAGCTGCTTATTGCCTCCTGGTATGTTGATGGCTTATCGTCCTCTATTAAAAGACAGTATGTAATACTTCCTTCTATAACATAATCTGAGTACTAATTGGAACGTCTTCTCACACGATCTGATTGACGAGTTGTTGGAGCTTCAAAATTCTCTGGTTCTTGTTCATCATGTACTGGTTCTGTTTTAGAAGAATCTCCTTGTCCAACCTCCTTTTCCACATATATGTGTGTAGTCTCTGACTTTTTAGCGCTATCATCGTCTTCTTTTCTTTGTAGCTTATTGTCGTAACCGTTTTCCGGCGGGACAATCGTTTAATTGTTTTAAACGGTTACGACTTTTAATTTTGAAAATGGGTGATTTTAAAATTAAATTGGATTAAATTGAAAAGGAGTCACCATCGACTTTTTGGGTTAGGTAAGTCGAATACCTAAAAACGTCTTTTAAAAATAATTTTAAGAAACAATATTTTTTAAGACAAAAGTTGGTCTGCGTTTACCAAAGATTCTATTAAAACGGGTTCGGGAGTCGGTTACGCGTGGGGAAGGATTAGCACCCCACGGCGCCCAAAATTGGTACTGTATCGCTTACACGTTATCGTAAAAGGTGGAAATCATGAATTAAATTTAAAATTAAATTATGATCCATTTATTAAAATTTAATTAATTTGCTTCAAATTAATTTTTAAAAGAAAATCTTTATACTCAATAAGATATATAGCAAAAACATGAACTTAAATGATTAAAATATAATAAATAAAAATTTAAGGGATTAAATAGCAAAACATACACTTAAATGACTAAAATAGAAAAAATAGAAATTCTTAGAACATAACCACAAATATGAATAAAAGAGTTTTTATCATGTAATCTAACCCCATGATATAAAATTATGATGTCAAATTAAAGGTTTTCTTTTTAGCCAAAATAATATTAAGAGTCAAATACATATTAAATTAAACCCCTACTAATTCTTAATAATTGCATCCTAATAAAAGGTAAATATCAATATTCACAACACTAATTTATTCGATATATTAAATAAAAATGAAGCAAGATATAAAGTTATCCTATATTAATTAGTATATACACATATATGCATGTAAATGACCATATTAACATCAATAATTAAATTATACTTAATATTTACATGTGATTTAACATAGACATATGGGAAAACTACTTGATCGAACCTAGAGTTTCACCTATAATTACACACTATTATGACATAATACGTATTCATACAAATGTTTATATCACACAAGTGAAATCTTAATAACTATTAATCGATGAATAAAGTATAGTCAATCCCTTAATCAAATAAACAATAAAAGCTTAATATACTACACACATAAAATAAAAAACAAACTGATGATCAAAATATAAGGGTGGCTAAACTTAAAGTGAAAATTGTAGAATGAACAAAGATAAAGTTATAAAGTGTAAATGGTCATATTTACTATACTAAAGATGAAATAACCCACAACCACATATAAGAGTAAATTGCAACTTAATAAAATTGCATGTCAGTTGCAAAAATAAGTAAAAAAAAAATTAAAATAACATCACCTAAGGATGGAAACATAAAATGCGAAAGCAGGGAGACAAAAACACGAGTCCAAATATTCTAAAAGAGAATCAAAATGGAATAAGGCAGAAACTAACGTAATTTAATAGTGAATAATCCTTCCCCAGACGCTAAATTAGATTACCCTACCCCTTTTGAAACGCATCAGTTTCGATAATTAAATAAATATAATGCT